TATAGTTACCAGGGTGAAGAAAGGATAATTAGGGCCTCTTTCTGAGTACAAAGTTCAGGTTGAAAATGCCTGATGGCTGGGGCCTCCGTAAATCGTAATAAACTTGATGTTCTCTGTAAGTTGATTATCTTGAAGGATTGAGAAACATCTATTTACCGTACTGTTTCCATCAGGTGCCCAGTGACTATGCTGGCAAAGACATTGCTACCTTTCAGACACAGATTTCTCAGAATACGTTCATGAAGTCGAATAGACACATTTCTCTTGATCCTACCTGCATACTTAATTCCACAAGCATAGGTGAAACGATATGCATAGTTGCATGTGAGGTAAACTAAATGTTTGTCTCATTCCGATTGTGTTATTAAGCATAAATATGTTAAACGTTTAAATGGTTATATATTCCGAAAGAATATAATACGCGCGCTTAGCTGACAGCAAACGTAGTACGCAAGAGCCACTGACTGCAACCCCGGGACGAATAGAGAGAAGACCGAAGCTGGATGATAAGAGAGTTTATTACTCCGAGAATATAATAATAAAATCAATCCCGAAACACGTGAATAAGTACACACATGAAAAATAACCTAGTCCTCAACTTGAGGCATTTGCATAGTAAGAATTAATGCTAACCAATTAGCGATTTACATTACAATGGGGGCAGAAAGTAGACTACTAGTCATACCGTAAAAATGGTATGGGAATGACACATTAAAAATGATCAAATCGATGACAATGTTTTATACTAAACTGGGGCATCACTGGAAAATATCTCAGCTAGGATACGTCTTAGTGGTGAATCCATACCCACTCCATCAGTTTACCCGTATAGTTGATTGGTAAACTGGACCTGAACACCTTTTGTACAGAAGAATAGTAATTTTTTGAGTTCAGTTTTTGGAAATGAAGGTAAATCAGACTGCTGACAAATTATATCTACCCTTTTATCCACTGATATGTTCGTCAATAATGAGGAAGTATCACATCCTACCATAAATTTATCTGAAATATTCGATAGATCCAGTCCTTGAGGCACTTGGAGTTTATCCTCCAAGCTGGGATTTGCAAATCGTTTTGAAATGAGTTCCAATTTCTTTGCTAACTAACGAGCCAGTTTATGACTAAGTTAAATTATTATGGACAAAATGGGTCTCTAAAGAATACTTGACTTACGGATTTTTGAAAGGCTGGACATGACGGGTAGTCATGAACCTCTTGGTTTGACATGAATTCGTTTGATTCAAGTTCATTGCAGGTCTCTCCATCAATCAAATGCTTCTTCTAGAGTTCCCAGAAGTCCTTGTTTACTTTGTTCGCAATTGAAAATGTCTCATCTATGAACTTTAAATCTCAGCGAACCGACCAAATTCATCGGCATTTCATGCATGTAGTCATTTTTATTTATTATGAAATTACCAGACCTCCTATCAGCTCTAATTATTACGATTTCGTCATTCTTACGCAGCTTTTCCAGTACTGGTATATACTTCTTAGTCAGCATCCTTGACTTCTGATATGAAGAAATGAAAAACTGAACAGCAGTATCTACAAGCCTAGATTTAAACCAGCTTCTTCCATCCTCATCTAAGGCTTGAAATCACGAAATTAGTGGTATTAATTTTGAAATTGCGTTTCCGTATCACTTCGATTAATATACTGGGATTGGGATATAAAATTTAAATCCAGGAGACACAGCTTTATTTGAAGACTGTATATATGGTTCTCTTGATTTTCAGAAAATCCTTCATATACCTCAGTGACCAAGTTTTACACCTATATAAATCCTTCATATACTTTCTCTGTCATTAAGGTTTTTGTAAATTTATTCTCACAGCTTCTACATATCTTCGGCTGTAGCTCATGAATAAAATTAATGAAGCTTATGAGACAAACAATATTCTGGTCATTGAGAAGGGCATGAAACATAGATAGCTGGGTTTCAATGTGGAGATGTTTGTATTCGATGTTTTAAGATGTGATTTGGTTATCGGATGTAAATTCTTTTGAAAAACGGGAAGTTTTGTCCATCGAACAACTTTAAAAACGGAAGTAGGGAGCAATTGGTTTGCAAAACACTGTTCATAGAGCCTGACTTTGGTGGACTTTCTAGTCATACTGCAGCAGGAAGTCATTACTTGATCCTATCTGTTTAAAGTATGTCATGCCATTATTACTACTAATATTTCATTTCAGTTGTAGACTGTTTGCAGCTGATGAAAGGCTGGGAAATAAGATGAGCTCATTTTATTCTATAAATGTCTTGACGTTATTCAAAGATTGATCTTACTGCTTGACATCTTTCAAGTGGATTACTTATTCTTGTCGCCCGACTTACTGGGATGAAAGTCATTGATGTAACTGGATAGAATTGATTTTTTTTAGTGTCAACTCATTCAAAAGAAGAGGCATCTTGAAAACCTCATCTAAAAAACTCTTAAATTTTGCTGCAAACTTTTAATAATCCCTGAAGTACTGATGTCTGTTCGAATGAATTACACACATAAAACATAGCAGCATAAGCAGAGAGAATAGCAGAAGTGAACAAGTGCATGACGGTAATAGATTATATCTGAATTAGTAAACACTTATCTGAAAGCAAAGTGAAAGTTGATAAATCTACGACAGTCATTTATTAGTGAACTGAATAATAGTAATGATAAATAAATAAACATGAGATTCATTACAGTAAAGGGGAAATGTTAAGCGTGTAGAAAAAATAAACTATAAATGCACTCTACAACTTATTATATCATTATTATTTTTCCCTTGGGTTCTTTGTGGAACATAGGGCTTCAGTAGCACACCTCCACTGCACTGAAACGGTCTTCTCGGTGTATATCAAATCCAATCTATCTTCACTTTATTCTGCAAATTTGTTGGATGATGGGTTGTTGGTTGGTTTATTGCCAAAGTGAATTCCTTGTTGGTAATTTTTCTGAACACCATCTGATCTTCAGTATCGAGCAAGCGTAAACAGCTGTTGATAAATATCTATAGTTTGTTGGAAATGCTTTTCGTGACATGAAAAGTTTCTCAATCATGATGGTGATGGTGAGATGGATTTATGAGATCAGTAGAAAAAAAGATGAGTTGGATAGGGCAAGTTAGAGAATTCGCTTCATGTATAAAACCAATTCAGTGATTAAGAAAATGTAGAATTTAACTAGTTGCTTCTTACTGACTTCAGCACAAACGACTTACTTATCTGGGCGAAAACAACTTTATTATGTAAACTGAAAGTTTTCGTTGGCAGGAGTTTTCTGGATAAAACATGGCATCCATATTACCAGAAATATAACTTGACAGACGCCGTTTTTCATACTCAGATTCATATACCCTAGAGGTAAAGAATCTTTCACATTTCTCGATCTAGACTTTGCCATTCATACAAATATTACTAAGGATAAGTAGATAATAAATATTATAACGAAAGCACTACCAAGGTTTGATACAACGGTTGTTTGTTAGTTGGAAGGAATCGGGAGGAAATCCTGCTTGGAGTAGGTTGGCACTTGTCAATAAGGCGTATGTTCAAAGTCCCTGACAGATTCGGACCCGTGTCACCGAATGCTACAGTCAGAAATATCGCCACATACCTCATCAACAGCTGCCGCCTACGCTCACTCACTCGATACCGAGGATCAGATGATGGCCAGAGAGAATAACCAACAAGGAACTCACTCTGGCAATGAACCAACCAACAACCCATCATCCAACAAATTCGCAGAAGAAAGTGGAGATTGGTCGGATTCGATTGGATTGGACAGAGGCCGAGAAGACCATTTGGAGACACCACGTGCAAGGAAAGGCTGTCGAGTGGAATCGAGAGGGAGAACGACGAGTTGGGCGTCTGAGGTGAGGCTGACATAGAGGAGGTGGTGTGTGAGGAAGAAATGAGAGCTTGTGAGAAGATTTGGAGCTAAGTAGAAAATAGTGTAGAGAAGGGAGTGCAATGGCGACGTGCTACTGAAGCCCTATGTTCCACTAGGAACTCAAGGGACAGTTAGGAATATTAAGTAAGGTGCAAAGTAACTGGCCTTAGTTTCTGTCACATGGCGCACTATCACTGTTTGTTATCTGCGACGTCGTATGTATCAATAGCAGAAAGAATATTTTTATCATTACGCTTATCTTTAAAATTCATAAATTTTTTTTGAGAATATGATAATATCAGTCACTGAAATTCATGCTCTCATATCTTGTTATGTATCTTATTTAAAATTCTTCGTAGACAACTATTATAATTCGAGAAGTATCAGTCAATTGATGCAGAATGACACTAGCAGGTCAGAAAATAGTACGAGTGTTAAGAGTTGGTGAATGTGACTGACTGTGAGTTAAGATTAGGTTGGTACCGTCTCCTTCGATTCTGAAACATTCCTGCTTTACTCGAATCTGCTGTTCCTGAGTACTACTTAAGCATCTATTGATTTGGCAGCCTACTATCTCAGACGCAGTATAGATCACGTTAATCCCTCTGCAGTTATCACAAAGACATTTCTCTCCTTAGAGATTACGAGTGGTCTGATGAGACATTACCTGCACTTCAAATGCCATCTACCACTCCAGGTAATTATAACAACAACTGCGGACCACTATAGTTAAATATCTGTAATAGAAATCCATTACGGGCCAAATACCCTGCCTCATTGCAAGCTATTTGTAGCCTGCTCAACTTCTACAAGTGTTTGAGACATTATATTTATCTTTGGTATAGAATACTACAGATTCATCATTCACTGGTCAGATGATAATGAGCAACATCGCCGAAATTATTAGAGGCTACTAAATTATCAATCAGATATATTTAACTTACATGAATTGTTAAACTACCAATTTTTATTCCCTTTCCCGCCATTTTTTGTTCAAAAATATCTCACGAACCAATCAAATTGTAGTCTGTTAAATTCCATAAGATTTGCTCATTCACAAACACATCAACACAAATATTTAACATTGACCACGTTATGTATGTATATATATATTAATGAAGGTAAGAGCTGAGTATAAGGACACTGTAAAATAACTGCATTCATCATATCCCACTGACACACGGTCGACTGTGACAAGATATTGATAGTGAGTACTTACAAAAAGCAACGACAATGTAAGTGAAATTCTTCTAAATGACCTAATTTATTTTCCTCTTTTGGATTCCTTATCATCCCGGAGAAATTAGAAGAAAGTGTCTATTATTTTTTACTTAAAAAGTACTAAAAATCAAATTTTTTAATTTTAATTTCATATTGTTCACTGATGCTTGTGGTTTCCATTTCCTTTTGTTGAGTCAAATTGCCCTACCTCTGTTGGCATTTGGGCTTCTATGATGGTTACTGGGCTTAAGTTTCAGTGGGAACAACATCATCACTAACTGGGGTGCAGGTATATTCGGCTGACGAGTCCCAAATAGGACGAATCTCATGTCCTAGATTCCACTGATAGCCACCAAGTAGACCACTAAATTAAATTAGATATTGTTTACTGTGGATTTATTTCATTTGGAGAATAAATGTAAAACTCGCAGCATCGGATAGATGTTCAATCCTAGGTTGGTCCTCGTTAACGGTAAGCACCCACAACCTTGGGACCATCACCGTCAAGTCTCGCTAACAGCACTTTACCGCTCGATCAACTGGTTTTTAGTCAAATGGTTCACTTGTTTCTATTTCTATCGGTCAGTGGTAAGGCGCGGTTGTCATACTTGAGTATTCGTCATCACACTCAACATGATTGTCTTTCCAGGTCACATTATTTCATTACATATTCCAGAAACTAACTTGGAAGCGAATCGGGATGAGTTAGTGAACAGCATCAGGCTGTCATATTACTCAAATATGCATACCAGTTACTCCCAAGTCAGTGAAATTTTAAACCAAACCATAATAAACATATTCTAGTTTTACTTCACCAACGGTTTTATATGATTTTGGTGTTGATGATCGCACAAAATCTTAACCTATCTGTTTACTATGAAACCTAAATTGTTGTTTACTTCGTGTTGTAGTTGAAGTTCATAAATTTGTATCTTTTCCCAGGGCACATTTCCCCTCTCCAGTCCTCTTGATGTGTCTCCTTTGCCTATGGAATATTTTCTAGTGGAATTCAAAGCAGTCATGATCTGTTGAAAGTGAAGGCTGACCAAATTACTGGACATGATAAATGAGATGAATTACATCTACGGTTTAATAGCATTTTTCAGATATAAAGAAAGTTTCTTGTATCAAATAGAATGTCACTTTGACTATTTGAGGTAACCACTACTTGGCAGATGTGTATTAATGTTCTGTGATGATTGAAAGTTAAATGAAAGTTTAGGCGACAGAAGAACTGGAACCAGGAACCTCCTATTTTCTGGTCCAGAAACACACAACAATTGACACAATGATTGCAACATGAGAACATGTTTTCTCATTTTTATTACAAGATTGAAGTATGGACGTAATGAAGCAGTATCTCAGACGTGAAGTTTATTTCAACAGTCTGAAGTCAGCCAGTAATAAAGGCCATTGAGAGATCAATCAGTTCCGAAATAACCCATACTTAGATATTTTTAATAATTAGTATTAAATGGTACACCAGAAAACTTGGGAATTAAGACGTGATTATTGAAGAGAATGTGTATCAAAAAGAGAGAGAAAGAGAAACCAGGAAGACGAAACAGTTGATCGATATCAGTAGGTTTTCAAACGGCTAGTTGTCACTACCTACCTTGTGGCTTATCAATTATACATTTGACCTTTTATGAATTTAGATAGTGTGTTTAGAAGACGAAGTTTATCTGCACAATGTTTCATGAGTTTGAGCAGTATATTGAGAACAGTTTGATCACACATTTACTTGTCAAATAAATTAATATTAAACCGTAGGATGGTAGGAAAAACAGGAAAATTAAGATAATAGGGTATCACAATTGAGAAAGGTGAGAACAAAAAGTAAGAGTGACTTAGTTGATCCTAATCTTGTTAAGAAAAAGAGATTTTGTCAGGGTAGGTATAGCATAAGAACAAATTGTTTCTGGCAACGTAAAGGTTGTTTTGATTTGTGTATGACTATCACTTCTGCAAATTTGAGCATGCTTTCCTAACTGTTTTTATGTAAGACCTTGAAAGCTATTTGAAAATGAACAATAAATTGTGTCTGAAGAGTTATCTAGCAAACAGTACTGTTTCCCTGTCCCAGTCATCTTATAACCGGATTAGAATAGAATTAAAATCTCCCGTAGTGTCTACATTTTACGTCTGTACTTGGTAAACTTTTTTCTTACCAAGATTTGGGTCAATTATCTCTCTCTTCCATTTTGTTCTCATCTTTCTTAATTCTAATCCTATATCATCTTAATTTTTCTTTTTATCCTACCATCCTTTAGTTTGATGTAAACTGACTCAACAGGTAAATGCATGTTCAGATTGTTCGCAATGTGTTGCAATGTGTTTTCTGCTAATTACACACTCTAAACTTATTTAACACCACTTCCTTAAAAAAAAACTACAAATGAATTTTTCCAACTTTAAACCTTAATGATAACATGTTCATCATGAAGTCTACGTTTTTAGAGCATCAGAGAAATCTACTCTGTGTAAAGCTTAATAATCTATAAACATAACTAAATAGGTATCTGGGTTTTCTGAGTTTTCAACTGTTAGTCAAGATTAAATTTATTTTGTGCGAAATGAATTTAAACTAATATGTTTAGGTCGACTCTGTTTTAGAAACTGAGGCAGAGTCAAGTGGAATAGAGTTTTTTTCTAAAGTCAAAGCTCTGCAATCGTCAAGGACAGATAGTTTAACACGTTTGCAAATGATTTAAAAATTTTATGTTAAGCGTTTCTTGTATTCGAGTAGTTTTCAACTGTCACGCAAATGTGGTGTCAACAGAGTTTTCATTGGAGACCACCCTGAATCCAAAATCACAAGCTGTGATCTCTAACAAAAACTCAACCAGCTAGATTCAGGTGATCGAAACAAATTCGTCTGTGTGAGCTGAATCTTTCCAAGTGCACAGCTTATGAACTCGGCCCGAAACGAGCCAAACTGCCATCTGGCTGACGAAATCTATAGGTCAGCTTGAGTGACTTCTGACTAATCACGTTGCTCAGTAGCAGTAAACGTTTGTATACTTTTAATTCTCGTATTCTACTGCCATCTCTTGAGTTATAACCATGAAACCAACCGTCAGTAGACCTCCTTTTATTCCACTTCTTTACGTAATTACCTTTTCAAGTGCATACAGATGTGATTGTGAGCGTCCGATGCTAACCTCCTGATTTGGAATTTTATCGTCGCCCACTGGAATCTATAAGCTAGGGGATTATTTTCGAAATTTCAGGTATTTAATGAGGTAAAGGCACTTTGGAGGATTAGTAAACTCTCCTATGAGTGTGTAAATATTACTCAGATTTTCCGAATTCAATAAGCATCATCTTACTTACTCATTCAACGTTTAACGAAATCTAATCAGTGAACTTGTATGTATGTGGTACTGCGTTACTTCAGCAAACATGAGTTTAAAGAAAGTATTCGTTACAGAGTGATATAAGTTACAGAATCATTGAAAACCGTGAAGCCCTGGAAAGTTATTTCAGAAACCTCAACAGTGTGCAACCTCATCCTGTCACGGATTTTTAATTTTTATTTTCGATATTTGATTTTCAGTATCCTCTATTCTATCCTTCTGATCTCTGAATTTTAGAAATTTACTGTCATCGCTGAGAATTAAGCACAGTTTATTAATATAATCCGACCGATCTGAAACCACGATACCAGATCCTTTGTCTAGGCATGGAAGTATAATATGTTTGTTGTTTGGTAGTTCTTTCAATTGCATTTTGTGCTGTTTGGGTACTATACCTAGTTATCGACATGGCATTTTCAAACATTGCTAGCAACAGTGTAATAATGTGGATTTAAAACGTCAAAAGCTTTCAGTGGACGTCGGGATTAAGTCTCGAGTTTGGTTGATAAAATTTTCGAATTGCACTTTTTCGTGAATTTCACTGGTCTTAGATGAAGCACAACAAAACTTTGGTCCCAAAGACAAAATCTGCATCTGAATGTTTGACAGGGTTATACTGGAGTGGTTAGACATGTATGTTTCTGGTGCATCGGGAAATTGTTGTGTAACTCAAAAGTTTTGAAACCTTTCGGTAATTTGATTGTTACACCTTCACATCTCTTCTTTATCACCTCTGATACATAAAATTCAAATGAATCCCATTCTTCATTTGTTAGCTGGAAAATAAAGTGCCCTTGTTGAGAAATATTTCTCTCCAGTTCAGCGAAGTGTACACGGATGCCATCAATTAGATCTAAAGCATGTCTCTTCAACATACGACCATTAGGATAAACACGATTATGCCGCAACGCGTTGCATCGTAATCATACTTCTAACTTTTTCAAAACCTTTTGGAATATGACGTAAAAGCTTTCTTGTTGAAAAATAATTTAGTACTGACTCATTCTCTCATCTTGGTGATACAATAACATCGAAATCCTTTTCTAATATTGGTCTTAGTTTTGTGGGGCTTACAGAGTGAGATGATCTATTCCAAACAGACTGGAAAATACTTTCACTACTTAAAAGATCCGGACTCATTCTTTACCATTGTGAAAGGTTGAATTGAACTCTTCGGAAAGGCTTATACCCGCATATATTCTAAAATATTTCGTTTTAAAGGATTGAATTAGGTTTTTTCCAAACAGTTTAGCCATTTGTAAATCTTTCTTCAACTGTGGATGGATTTGTGATATACCACTGCACTAGGAATTCAATTTTCGTGCTCGCGAACATCATTCAGCGTGGTTAAGTAAAGGTGTGATAAAGACCATTACAAGATCCATACTAGCATACTTGGCGGAAACAAACCATAAAGTGGATATGAATGAGTAGTTTTCCGTTATTTACTGGGTCCTCATCAACTTACTTCAATGCATCCACCTCAGGATCTTTCACACTGCAGAACTAGTACCAGTCAGGGTTGAAAAACCTAAGTTTTTGGTTCAAAAGAACAAATTGTTACCACCACAACTACCTTGGCCCTATTCGGGACTCACAAATTCCTACCTCAAGTGTTCTAACTTTGTAATTCCATAATGTAAGTAGCTCTACAT